TTGGAGCTGAAGAGGTTTGGAGCTGAAGAGGGTTGGAGCTGAAGAGGGTTGGAGCTGAAGATGTTTGGAGCTGAAGAGGTTTGGAGCTGAAGATGTTTGGAGCTGAAGAGGCTTGGAGCTGAAGAGGGTTGGAGCCAGGGCCAGATTAAGCTGGGTGCTATTGCTGGTACAGCATTGACCCACCAGGAAAATAGGCCCCTGATGAAGAATTACCCAAGCTGGGGAATTTCCATTTGAAATTCCCCAGCTGGGAAATCCCAACTGTTTAAAATTATGGAAACCCTAGCTGCAAAAACAGAAGAGAGATAAAAGTATTTATGATTTCAAAAAGCAGGTATCAATCAATTCCAGCATGCTCCAAATGAAAAGCAGTGAAGAGCAAACCAGATCAAGGACATAAAATTTGGTTGAGAGCAAACAATCATTCCTGCATTGAATTTAAATCAAGGCCAATGGCCAGAAACAGGAAGACATGGTGCCAACAAATTATGGGAGGAGAAAATCAAATCAAAGGTTTCAATTCAATCCATGCCACTGGCAGCAAGATAAAATCATCACTCCTGTCCCCACTTTGAAAGCCTTTTGTGGCCTCAAAAATCTTCTGAAGTGATTTCTTGGTGTTGTGGCGGAATAAGTTGGTATGTTAAAGTACCGCCGCACTGTATGAGAAATTTGTAAGAGATGCTACTTGATTATTCCTGAACATTCCAGACCTTCCTGATGTTTTCAGCAGCTTCCAACTTGCCGCCATGTCATGGAACATTCAGACAGTGTGGTGTGATATTTTTCTAAAATTTATTCATTTAATTCTGTGTGATTGTTTCACTGTGTGTCTGAATTTGTGAAAAGGTCTGTTTCTGTGTTTTGGGTTAAAACAAAATATACTTTTTCTTTTTCTTGGTGATCTTGTGAACAAGATCCCCAGCTGAACCCCACAGCTGATTAAAGTGTTTTATTTTGGAATTCCATGCCTTTTTACACCATTTTTGGTGACAGGTGTGTATAAAATTATGATTTTTCATTTTTTAAACATCATTAATTTATGAACACTTGTGATGTAAAAAAAACAATTTTAATCAACCCATTCCCTGTTGTGCCTCCTTGGACAAAAACCCACCACTTAAACATTGTTGCCCTGGTTTCCATGAATGCAAGTGTCCCTTTTTTGAAGGGGATATGCTTTTTTGAACACTTTGGCTTGACCAAGGCAATCTTGGCCAAGCCATATTTCCTACAATGACTTCCAGGAGCAGGAGATTGGCAAAGTGAGTTCATTATTCTGGACATATGCCTGTTCATCTTGTGTTTGGAAAATGAGTCTCCATCTTGCCAGTTTTCAATATAAGAAAATCCACAGTTTCAATATATATTTTCTAGTTTTTCCATTGCTCTATATAGTCCATACAACAAATCATGGGAGGAGAAAATCCAATCCAAGGTTTCAATTCAATTGTAGAAACATTTTGGGGGGAATTCACATATT